CCACTGTTGTTTTAGCTGGCCCAGGCCAAGTTCAAACCCGCCAGCCTGGGTGTATTTGGCCAGCGCCCTACCCACTGAGTTACAGGCACCGTCACCCTGTCCCTTTCTACATCTACTTCTTCATTTCCTCGATCTAGCCTGATCTAACTAGATGGCAGATAAAAGCATCACCCAAACACTAAGGGTAGGAAAATCTTTTCTCAAACTAAGAAACTGCCCGGCAGGTCTACTAAGATTTAAGCTTGAAGGCAGAGCTTTTGTTGGTTTTATTAAACCCTGAAGACTGGTAAGGTCATAAAAATTCTAAGGATGTTTTGCAAGTAGATTCCAGTAGGGCTCATCTATATTAAAAAAAAAAAAGAAAGAAAGAAAGAAAAAAAAAAAAAGAAAGAGGCCAGATGCTGTGGCTCACTCAGGCCTGTAATCCTAGCACTGTGGGAGGCCAGGCCTGATAGACTGGCTGAGCTCTGGAGTTTGAGACCAACCTGAGCAAGAGTGAGACCCTGTCTCTAGTAAAAATAGAAAAACTAGCCAAGCATGTGATAGGCACCTGTAGTCCCAGCTACTCAGGAGGCTGAGGGAGGAGGATTACTTGAGCCCAAGAGTTTGAGGTTGCTGTGAGCTATGACGCCACAGCACTCTACTGAGGGTGACAAAGAAGACTGTCTCAAAAAATAAAAAAGAAAAAAATCTGTAAAACACAACCCTAGCAGATGTTACCAAGCATTAAACATATGGCACTTTTCTCAGTTCAGTTTATAAAAACCTTAAAAACACAAAACCCCAACCTGTTAACAGGTTAAATGCACTGTTAACACTGTACTTTCACTAAATCAGTGAAGCGTTGATTCTATTCAGGTTACACAAATCCTTTTCAAAGAGCTGGTGGTTTGTCTGATAGAAAAGGAGACTGTTACCAAAATAACCCCAATATAATCTCATATAACAGTGGGATTGTTTTGAGTACTGCAGTACTTTCTATTTATAAGGTTCACTGGGTTGAGCTGCAAATACTCCATTATAATTTTTCAAACTTCTGTAGAAGAACTGCTTTGGGGAAAAAACGTTAATAAGAAAAAAAATCTCAATGTAGCTAAAAAAACAAAACGGCTATTTCCTTATTTTAAGAGAGCTTTCTGGGTTTGTTTTATGTATCCTAGCGCAAGCCCTTAAAAAAGAAGGCAAGACTAGAGGGACGCCTAAAGTAGCGCTCAGGGTGGTGGGACCTATTAACGAAATAATCCACTGGGTACCTACTGTGGGCAAAGCGTTCTATTAAGATGTGAAGCGAACAACAACGAATATTTCATTGCTATGAGAGATTATGTTTTAGGGCAAATGGACATGATCGTTAGGAAATTTGGTATTTCCATGCAACTTCATTAGCAGGCTACGAGAACCAAAGTTAAGGGGACTCCACTCGCGGCCAGGCCCTTTTCCTTGTCTAGACCTGTTTAACCGACTTACATCATAATCAAAGAATACAAACCACAGCACGTTCTCATAGCCAAGTTATTCCTTAAAAACACAACCGAGTCACCTTCTTAAACACAGACTCACACTACCCATGGCACTCAAAGGGAGGACCGACAACTTGAAGGGGGGAGAGAAAACTTTTGAACCCGAGCTTGCAAAGCAGCCCAAGGGTACACGAGGCTCTGCTCCCCCGTCGGACAACGCCGCCCAGGCCTGGGGCCAGTCTATTAAGGACTTGCAGCTGCGGGCACCGGCTGTGCGGCGGTTAGGGACGCGGGGAGGTGAGAAGGGCCTGAGAGAGAAAAGCTCCCCACAAGTTGGCCCGATGTTCACGCTCCAAAAATGAAAAGCAGCATTTGTTCCGTCTGCGGCCCGTCGCGTTTGGCCCTTCCCCACCCCCACCCCAGCAGCTCCCGGCGGGACTCCGCGGCACCGAGCCGCACCGGAGTCGGAGCCCGGCCCCCCGCCCTCCGCGGCCGCCGGCCCGCCCGGCCCCAGGACCTCACCTGCGGGGCCCGCCCCGGAGGCGCGAGCGGGCAGCGGGGAGCGCAGCCTCAGCCAGAGGTGCAGCGCGGCCCCGAGCACACACGGGCACAGCAGCACCAGCCAGTTTCGCATTGGCCGCCCCCGCCGGCTCCACCTCGCGCCCCCGCCACGCGCCGGGCTCTCCCGCGTCCCGGCGGAGAGGGAGGGGACCTGCACGTGCGGATGCTGAGGGGCGGCGACGGACGCCTGCGCCACCACTCCGGGCACGCCCGCTCTCGCGCCCGGCGCCGTCAGGAATCCCTGCGGCTCCCGGCCCCGCGCCTCGGGTTCTTTAGACCCCGGGCGGCGGCCGAAGCCCCGCCCCCTCCGCGCGGCCTTCCCACAGGCTCCGCCCACCTCTTTCCTCCCACTCGCTCCGCCCTCCTCTCGCTCGTCCCCTCCTGCGCCCGCCGGCCTGCCGGGAGTTGAAGTCCTGCTCTGGGCCCAAGCAGGAGGTGCACTCTGGAGCATGAGGCCTGAAAACTACATTTCCCCTAATGCTATGCACGCTGTTCCGACACTCGGGACGCGAAGGCGAAATTCGAGGCCTCACATGGAACATGCGCGTCCCTTCTCGGAGCCTGCTGCCCTCTAACGGCCGAGGGGAGGTAGTGCCAGGTGCCTTGGCGCAGGGAGGCTGCCCCAAGCCGGGAAGGGAAACGCGGTTTAGACAAAGGTCGCTGTTTGCCTCGGATGCAAGAAGATCCGAGTGACTCTTGTTTGAAATCACGCCGTGCTTCCCTGTGCCGGAGCCTCGCTCGCTGGTCTACTGCGGAAGATGGAATCCGGTGACGTCTTCTTGGCCCAAAGAGCGGGACGAGAAAGCGCCGCGTGCCGTGTCTTGAACGGTGAATCATCAGGGATTAGCGCTGGTGCGGTGTGTTCTCGGCTCTTTGCCCGGTTCTGAGCTCTAGGAATGCAGGATGAGTAAGGCAGATCCCCGGGGATCAAGCTGTGGAGTAGAAGGGCGACAGTCCCTTCGAGGGTAGAATTGCACATGACCCGGGCTCACACTGGCGCAGTCAAGTTGGAAGAGTCTCAACCAGGACGTGTGCCGGGAGAGCGAATGCGGGCTCGCTGGACCTGCGAGGGGCTTCTGCCCCTTGGAGATGAAACTCCGCCCCGCGGTGCACCTGCGGCCCCGGCGTGAGCCCCCCGCCCCCCGGCCCGCATTCGCCCAAGAGGGGAAGAGGCAGTGAGGATACTGGTGATAAGAAGGTGGGGGAAAGAGAAAGAGTGCCTAGGCTATGATGTGTGTGTGTTAATTTGTTTTAATTTCCACAAGTTGTTCAGAAAACTTTTCGTTGACAGAAGATCCATCTCAAACAGGCATAAGGAAATAAAGATTTTTTATTCAAATAACAACGATCCAAGATTTCCCAGGCATAGAGTCTCATTGAGTGGCAACATAGTTTAAGAAAAGCAACCCTCCCTTGAATTACTTTGTATTTGTTTTGTAATATTGCCCGCTGTGCTATATTTAATTTCAAAATCTGTTTGTTTTAATAGTTGTATAAAATCTAGAAGCCTAGGAATTTATGCTGTGTGTTTGCATTAAGTAAATTAATAAAGATAATTTAACTCATGTAGGGCCAGAAATTGTTTTTTTCATCAAAAAGGGATTTGTGTATTTGTTAGTTAGCTGTTGCTATGTAACAAATTAATCCAAAACTCTTAAAAAACAATAATCATCTCTCAGAATTTCTACATGTCAGGAACTTGGGAGCTAAATTCTGGTTCAGGGTCCCTCATAACGTTGCAGGCAGATGTCAACCAGGGCTGCACTCATCTGAAGGCTTGAGTGGGGCTGGAGAGTCCACTTCCTAAGTGACTTACATGGCAGATGCTGCCGTGCCTTTTATGACAAAACGGAAGACACACACTGTCACTTCACTAATCTACTGATCACACAGTAGCCCTGATTAACTGTGTGAAGAACCACACAAGGCCATATTGGAGGCAAGGATTATTGGAAACCCTTCTCAGAGTCTAGCTCCCACTGTATATTATGCAAATCTGAGAAATTCTACTGTTTCTTAACAGTTTGGAGAGCCTGAAAACAGGAAGAAACGCTTTTTCCTTCTTATGGGAAACAGAATTAAAAGGCTGTGATTATTATGGGTCCTGGGCAAGTGTCACCAAAATCTACATGCCTATTTCCCAAATATTGTGTACATATCTTAGTAAGAAAGGAAAATATGTAATGTTTAGAAATTTCTTGTTAGAAATTCTTTTTTTAGAAACTATGCTGACTTGCTTTCTACATTTCAATTAAAGAAACTGTTAAGAAAGTAATAATTGGATGGCTCGGCACCTGTGGCTCAAGTGGCTAAGGCGCCAGCCACATACACCTAAGGTGGCGGGTTGGGCCCGCCAAACAACAATGACGACTGCAACCAAAAAATAGCCTGGGCGTTGTGGAGGGCGCCTGTGGTCCCAGCTACTTGGGAGGCTCAGGCAGGAGACTCACTCGAGCCCAGGAGTTGGAGGTTGCTGTGAGCTGTGATGCCACAACACTCTACCCAGGGGGACAGCTTGAGGCTCT